GGGCAGATGCGTTCCAGAAGCAAAGGGGGGGGGGGAGGCAAATAGTTCTCTAGGGGCAGTGGCCATCCATCTTTGCAGCTGAATGTACCACTGTCAGAGGCTGATTTGCCTTGCCCAGCCCAAGTTTCACCTCACTGCAAAACTATGTGCTGACAAACACAAAACTTCATATGCGTCAGGGCACACTCACTGAGAAATGGCTGACATTCTCCTTTTTACAGTATAATTAGAAAATTAATCTAATAGAATACAAGTCTTGGACTTACATTTCAGTGCACAGGCAGCAGTATATACAGCTAACAAAATCATCCAGGACTTGGTGGTGATGGGGGGCGGGGGGACTTCAACTATCCAGACATCTGCTGGGAAAATAACACAGTGGGGCACAGAGTATCCAACAAGTTCTTAGAATGCATTGGAGATTTTGATTTTGATTTCAAAAGATGGAGAAAGTGACTGGGGGGAGGCTGTTCTAGATTTCATTTTAACAAATAAGGAGGAATTAGTTGAGAATTTGAAAATGGAAGGCAGATTGAGTAAAAGTGATCGTGAAATGTTAAGAATTCATGATTCTAAGGAATGGTAGGAGGGAGAATAGCAAAATAACTAATGGATTTCAAGACCACAGACTTTAGCAAACTCAGGGAATTGGTAGGCAAGATCCTATGGGAAGCAAGTCTCAGAAAAATCAATTGAAAAAAGCAGTTTTTCAAAAGGACATTATTAAGGCCACAAAAACAAACTATTCCACTGCATAGAAAACATAGAGGCTACGTCTAGACTGGCATGATTTTCCGGAAATGCTTTTAATGGAAAAATTTTCCGTTAAAAGCATTTTCGGAACAGAGCGTCTAGATTGGCACGGACGCTTTTCCGCAAAAGCACTTTTTGCAGAAAAGCGTCCTGGGCCAATGTAGATGCACTTTTCCTCAAAAAAGCCCCGATAGCCATTTTCGCAATCGGGGCTTTCTTGTGGAAAACAAATCTGAGCTGTCTACACTGGCCCTTTTGCGCAAAAGTTTTGCGCAAAAGGGACTTTTGCCCGAACGGGAGCAACATAGTATTTCCGCAAAAAGCACTGATTTCTTACAATAGGAAGTCAGTGCTTTTGCGGAAATTCAAGGGGCCAGTATAGACAGCTGGCAAGTTTTTCCAGAAAAGCGGCTGATTTTCCAGAAAAACTGACCACTTTAGACACAGCCAGACAGTGTGGCAAGAGACCACCTTGGCTTAACCAGGAGATTTTGAATGATCTAAAATTCAAAAGAGAGCAGAAAGTAGAAACTAGGTCAAATTATAAACAATGAATTTAAACAAATAACACAAGTACAAAGAGGGAAAATTAGAAAGGCCAAGGCACAGAATGAGCTGAAAATAGCTAGACACATACAGGGTAAAAAAAAATCTATAAATATATTAGAAGCAAGAAGACAACCAAGGACAGGGTAGGCCCATTACTAAATGAAGAGGGAAAAGCAGTAACAGAAAGTGTGAAAATAGCAGAAGTGCCATCAATTACTTCTGCCTGGAGAAAAGCAACAGTTTCTCTGTTTTCCCAAGGCATCATGGGAGTTGTAGTCTCTAGGGCTAGATTGCAGCACCAAGGATCCTCCTAGTAAAAGTCAGAAGCTCCTATAGTAAAGAGAACCTACATAAACAAGACATGAGAAACAATTCTTCCACTCTACTCAACTGGAATAATGTGTCTAGTTCTGGGTGATGCATTTCAAGAAAGATGTATATAAATTGGAGAAGGTCCAGACAGGAGCCAAAAAAATTATTAACGATCTAGAAACATAACCTATGAGGGCAGATTGAAATAATTGGGTTTGTTTAGTCTGGAAAACAGAAGACTGAGAGGGGACATAACAGTTTTCAAGTAATTAGAGTGTGTTACAAGGAGAAGGGAGAAAAAATTATTCTCCTTAGCTGATAATGATAGGACAAGAAGCAATGGGGTTAAATTGCAGCAAGGGAGGTTTAGGTTGGACATTGGGAAAAACTTCCTAACTGTCACAGTGGTTAAATACTGTAATAAATTACTTAGGGAGGTTGTGGAATCTCCATCACTGGAGATATTTAAGAGCAGGTTAGACAAATACCTGTCAGGGGTGAGCTAGAGATGGTACTTGGTCCTGCCATGAGTGCATGGGGCTGAACTTGATGACCTCTTAAGATCTCTTTTAATTCTGTAATTCTAAGTCACTATCTCTATGAAACTTAGTTTTTCCTGAATTTACTTGAGTTTTTTATGTATCCTGTTGTAAAACTTGGCAAATATTTAGATGAGTTACTGTAGCCCATGGAACACCTCTGAGTACCCCTGTTCAAGCACCACTGCTCTAGGGCCGTGGTCCCCAACCCGGTGCCTGCGGGCGCCATGGCGCCCGCCGGGCTCTTTACATGCGCCCGCGGAGCAATCTGGGCTGGCAGGTGCCAGGCCCGGGCGCATGGCTGGTCCCGGCCCCGGGGGCGCCGCGCGTACCCTTGCCAGCTCCGGCGCCGGCCTTGGCCCCGCCCCCGGGAGCACCGCGCGTGCCCTTGCCGGCTCTGGCGCCGGCCTTGGCCCCGCCCCCGGGGGCCCCGGCCCCGG